TTTAACAGGCAGATTCACATTTACTTATTTTTTGCTCACTTAAAGTGTAAAATTAAACTTAGATTTTTAGTTTAAGTTCGATTTTAAAAACTATTGTCGATCTTTTCGTTACTATAAATTTTATAGCTCCCTTTTATTGGTAATGATTTATATTTGTGCACATTGCCTATAAAATTAATCCCATCAGTATTTGTCAACTCCTGATGAGCGCCTGCGATGGCAAGCCAATGCACTACCTGACGACGAATTGTGTACTGAAAATGCAATAATTTTGCGCAGATTCAATAGGTATCCGCTCATCATTGACCCTAGTGGACAGGCCACTGAGTTTGTTCTTCATGAATACAGAGATAAGAAGATAACAAAAACCTCTTTCTTAGATGACGCCTTTCGCAAGAACCTCGAGTCTTCACTTCGGTTTGGGACTCCGCTTCTCGTGCAGGACGTCGAATCTTATGACCCCATTCTCAATCCTGTGCTCAATCGTGAAGTTAGGCGTACTGGTGGGCGTACGTTGGTGACCCTCGGAGATCAGGATATTGATCTTTCGCCTACCTTTACCATTTTCCTTTCAACCAGAGATCCTTCGGTTAGTTGAATAACTTGGTGTTGAATAGCACAATTGCACAAACCTTTGCACTTCATGCTGGTATTTTTTATCAATCTAAACTTAATTCCTTTTGAGACTAGTATATTATGGCCAATTTTTTTGGAATCCATATTTACTGCGTTTGAGCGTAGTTTCATATACGATATTTAGCAATATGTGTATATTTGAAAAAGCACCAGTAAATACATTAGTCAATAAGAGAGAACTACTGGCCCAGGCGCGGGTTTATTCTGCATATCCATATGTATTTTTTGCTATTTTTGGGGAAATTTAGTTAAACGTTTTTTTTAGCTCGTGTGCTATTTGCCTGTGAGCAGGAACGGAATCAAATATTTACTAACTGTGATGTTATATGTTAAACGCTGGGAGTTAGTCATGTCTCTAGATTTCTTATGACAGCATACGGACATGTCACACATTTAACTCTCACTGTACTTACTGTACTGTACTGAACTGACAGTTAAGGTGGGAAAGGAAATTAGATTGATGTGGTAAGGAATTTAAAGTGTGGTAGTTGGTAAAAATTTTATTCATTCTTACTTGATCCTTTTTATTTAACTTGAGCTACTTATGATTTACTCTTAAAGCTGGAATGGTCTGAGACAGTCATTCTTTGCAGTCTCTATAATTATTATGATAAATATGTTTCAATAAGGCTGAATCTTTTGTTTCTTCACTGTATGTAAATATTTAAGATTGTACTGTCACACTCTCATGATGCCTTGTGGATCAAACTAGTGGTATTTTCATTAATTTTCTTGTCTGATTTTACCATGGATTCTTGCAGTATTGCTTGCATTGCTCTTGATATTTGCATGGGCCTTAAATACTTTTAATCTATTTTACGTATCGGATAATTTTATTACTTTTTTAGATTGAATTCCCGGCCGACATCTGCTCCAGAGTCACATTCGTTAATTTCACTGTAACTCGGAGCAGTCTTCAAAGTCAATGTCTTAATGCAGTGCTTAAAGCTGAACGACCAGATGTGGACTCCAAGCGTTCTGATCTCATGAAAATGCAGGGACAATTTCAATTGAAGCTTCGGCATTTGGAAAAGGACCTCTTGCAGGCACTTAATGAAGCTAAGGTTGGTTAGTTAATACCATTCTTGCAATTGTACCTTTACTGGGTATTTTGCTCATGATCCTATTTTTTTTCGTTTTTAATCTTTGATTTTTCATTATTTTTGGTGCATATACAAATTTAACAAATTACTTTTGATATGGGAGCTCGCTTTTTCTTAGTTTTTGGCCTCCTTAAGCTTGGTTTGCACTTAGTCATTCGCATTGGTTATAATTTAGGTAAAAACCAAAAATTAGATAAATGTAACCCTTGCGAAATTCCTCTCCGGATAAATCTACTACTTTACGGTAAGCCAGTTATAATGAGATATCTTGGTTATTATTGCTATTATGTTTATAACAAGGTACTTAAGGTATACAGCATGATATTCAATAGATTTTGGTACACAAAAATAATTCATAAGCTTTGATATTATAGTTAGGATATGACAAAAGCAAGTATTCTGTCCATTTATATCGTTCAAGTAATCTCTTTGAAGGTAAATTTCATTAACTTTTTCCTAATATGTCTTACCATCGTTGCACATTCTCATTATCTTTGTGGTTAGTTTTTGTTATATTTTCTCCTCTGTTTCGCAATTACCCATAGTATATTATATGTGACCCATTGCTATAATGTTACCTAACGTTACTTTACGATTTTTTGTAATTTTTATTTTCTTAGTTTTGCTCATTTACTAGTCACGGATCACTCAATTAACTGGGAATATTTTGTTGGTTACATATGTATACTAGTGTTGATTTCTTTAACCTTTTGCATTTTAATTTGCTGTACAGTATTCTTTATTCAATTACTTTGATTGATTGTACTTTCTTACTGTCTGCTTTCAGGGAAACTTGTTAGACGACGACAAGATAATTGCTCGCCTCGAGACCTTGAAACGAGAGGCAGGCGAAGTTGCAAAGAAAGTAGAGGAAACAGATGCCATTATGGCTGAGGTTGAATCCGTTTCCCAACAGTACGTGCCACTTGCCCAAGCTTGCTCAAACATCTACTTCACTCTTGAAGCTATGAATCAAGTCCACTTTCTCTATCAATACTCGCTGCACTTTTTACTTGAGATATTTAGCACAGTCTTAGGACAGAACGACAACCTAAAGGATGTCAAAGAAGCTGGACAGCGCCTCGCTATAATTACTAAGGATCTATTCCAGGTTCGTGCTACTGAACTTCACTCATTAATTCTCATTCTGTTTTGTCAATATTCCTTCTAATGTGTTTGATTTTTGCCTATTATATGAAATATTTTAATCGGATTTTCAATGGTAGTTTATCTAGCCTTAGTAACTGCCATCTCTAGTCATTATTTCTAATTACTTTGATATTGACATAAATTTATTATTTGTTTGAAGAGGCCAGTGTAAGGGATTCGTAAGATGGCTTCATCAGGATCTGGAGGGGGATTACCTTGGAGCTTTGACGATAGATTTGCGAATAATTTCTCGGACTATCGTCTCACGACCGATAAATCCCTGCTGAGTTTTCCTCCATCATGTGACGGATAATTTCAAAATGGACACATGCTTTACGATGATTCTCCCAGCAGAAAGACAAGAAGGGTGGCTTCCTACAATCCTACCTACTTGTTATAGTTTAACGTTATCCACTTAATAACACATCTCATGATTTGATTGACAATCTCATGTCTTCCCTGTATGTTTGCAGAAAAGTAAATTGGCTGCAGGGGGCATGTGAGTAACTGCACAATAACTGTGAACTGACTGGATGGCTGCATTATCTCCTAAATCACCTTTTTTACCATGGAATTTTGACACGTAACTGCGTTACATTGTACGAGGCATACAATGCTAGTGATTTTTGTATGTGGAAGTGCATCAGCGGTATGTCTTATTGTATGTATTTTTTCATCATATTTTGTTTGAGGTGATGAAAAATTGGTAGTTGAATTTTTACATAATCAGATGAATAGACCCCATGTTTGCATTGGATTTCACATAGTCTTGTTTACCTTAATGTATTCTCATTTAGATAGGATTAAGCTGTAGTTCCGGACTAGGCTTTATCGACATAGCCAGCGGGACTCGACACCGGATTGTGATATTGCACTGCATATTCTCGATACGATTGCTCTTGGGTCAGACGACAGACTTGAGTTTTAAGAAAAGCCAGGTCTTTCCCATATCAAATTTCTCTGCTGGGATTGTCGATGCGAGAAAATTGTATTTGCTCTTAAATAATGTTTACTGGTAGTCTTGAAAGCTAACTATAAACGAAAATTTATATCAGTATCTGGTATACTTTTCGGACCATGTGTTGGACCAATTCTTTTTTTGGACCAAAAAGTCTTTAGGCTGTTTTATCCTTAAACAACCTATTATTCATGTGTCATCAGACCT